TTATGAGGCGTCTGCTCATAGGCGTCAATTAGCCGCATCTCTTGAGTGGGTGGGAAGTTACTTTTCCTGAGTTGAGTTGACATAAAGTTGATAGGTCACATTTACTAGTCTCATGGAGACGTCAAATCACTTTAAACCTTAGGGGCAGAAAAGATCTTGACAAAGATCTCATTCTGAAATCGGCGGCGGAGCTTCAGGCCGAGGTCCACGGGGATCGTTTCGCCTCGAATTCAGGGGGATGGGGCACTTCAGCCAGTCTTGCAAAATTACCACTTAGGGGGACCACTTCGTATGAACGTCCCACACATCGGCTGACGTGGTGGTGGATTTTTCGAAGTGGAATCACTTCGTATGAGTGTTCCACACATCGGCTGAAGTGAGTTCAGTTCGGGGCGTAACAGTGGTCCCCCAAGTCCAGGTATGAATATTTATATCATGGGTGGACTTGTCTTCTCGATCGGGTATATGCGCCTCGGGATGGGGATCGTGATTTGTGAGAACTTGAGGGTCGATTTTCTGTGTTCACTGAAGCGTGGATCCTAGGTAGATGCGCTAAATCCTTGCCACTGTGTGAGGGACAAAATTTATGCTAGGACGATGTGCTAACGAGCTAGACGATGTGTGGGGAGATGGTCAACGCATCGCACAGGTGATGACCAATAGGTTACTCCGCGTCAGGTGCGCCGATCCACAGGGGACGACGCGTTGGGAGATGGCTAAAACTTTGTAAAGCTTAGGCGGGAACGCAGCGATCGAGGCGACGACCCACAGGGGACTCCGCGTCAGGTACGTCTAAGTTTTGTAAAGTTGAGTGAGGAGCTCATCTTCCACTGGTGCGTTGACCCACAAGGGACGACGCGTTGGGAGATGGCTAAAATTTTGTAAAACTTAGAAGGGAACGCATCGATCGAGGCAATGACCCACAGGGAACTCCGTGTCAGGTGTGTCTAAGCGTTGTAAAGTTGAGTGAAGAGCTCATCTTCCACCGGTGAGCTGACCCACAGGGGACGACGCGTTGGGAGATGGCTAAAATTTTGTAAAGCTTAGGAGGAAACGCAGCGATCGAGGCGATGACCCACAGGGGACTCCACGTCAGGTGCGTCTAAGCGTTGTAAAGTTGAGTGAGGAGGTCATTCCGAGGCGAGCATGTATGATGTTAAATGATTTGACAGCTGTTGCGTATTTCCAAGGTGACAGTTGGGTGCAGCGCCCATTCCCCTAAAAGGCTGCTGCGGCTATTTATTGTTGACGGCTGGTGGTGACAGAGGCGACGCGTTATATGCGAGCGTGAGGGTCACAACAAAATCTTAGGCGTAAATCGAATCTGGAGTTTCATTTCAACGGTTTAGATTGATGGTGTGACGGACGGCCTAGATTAATTGCATTTGAATTTACCGGTGGAGATTAGTTGGAGCGCTCTATAAAAAACGGAGTTGAGCATTTTTGGAGTTTTTTTTACTCTTGCAAGAACAGAAAGCTCCATTGCTTTCAAATCTCTTTGCAATTTTCGGCGTTTTTCAAGCATTTCTGGCGATAACTTTTGATTTTCCAGCGACCACACACCACTTTTTGATAGGGATGTCAATTGGGCCGAGCCGGCTCGGCTTATCAAAGCTCGGCTCATGGGCTGCTCGGGCTCGTCAAATGACGAGCTCGAGCTCGAGTCGAGCGGGGGGTCGCGTCCAACGAGCCGAGCTGCTCGTCCAAAAAAGTGGAAAAAATAATATTTTATCAATAAAATTTGAAAATTTTGCAAAAAAAAAAAAATAAAAATTCACGAGCTCGCGAGCCGCTTGTGGGCTCGGCTCAACCTACTACCATCCCTACTTTTTGATCATTTCTAGCTGGGAACACTCAAAACTCGTAAGTTTTAGTAACTTTTTGAGATTTTTTCTTTCTGAAAATGGCCTCTGAGCGTATTTGAGATTTTTTCTTTCTGAAAATGGCCTCTGAGCGTAGTGCTAGTTCGAGGAGGGGGCTAGAGTTAGTACGGATGGATGAGCCCATTGTGGCGACCTCCTCCGAAGTTGCCAAGGCGATATTAGGGGGGAGAATATTTGGAAGAAGGGGGATAACCCAGTAGACACCTCTGTGCATTAGGGGGCGTCGGATTACCCGTCCAAGCTAAAGGAGGCCGACCTAAAAAGACTTAAGACCGAATATAAGATACCTGATAGCATAGACCTGATCCTACCCGAGCCTGACGAGAGGGCCTGCTACCCTAGGCCGAGGTGTGTAGCGATAAGCGAGGCGATTCTTAGAGCTGGCCTTAGGCTTCCAATTCACCCATTTTTCCAGATGGCGCTTAGGTCTTATGGCTTAGCACCTACGCAACTCAATCTGAACTGTTGGACCCAGATGGTGGGCTCTTGGATGTTATGGAAAGAGGCGTCACTGGGAGTGGAGATGCCCTTTTCAGTTTTTCAGACCCTCTATATTCCGAAAGTAACAGCGGAGGGGATAAGATCGGTGGCTGGTATTACCTGACCTCTTAGGGTTCCCACACTCCATTCATGCTCGATTTGCCGAGCTCCATCAAGGAGTGGAAGAGCTCGTAGTGCTGGGCTGCCGGGAGATGGAACACAATAGAGGGGGACCCCCGGCACCTCTTACGGTCCCTACGAAGTACTCGACACTTAGTGAGTATTATAGATGGATTTCTTCTTTATTCTCTTTAGTTCGGTTTATAACTAACACTCGTATTTATTTTTTGAAGGCGCTCTTCCTCGGTATGAGCTGTCCTCAGACGATTTCGAGATCGTCTACGTGTTCTATCAGCTGCCTCCAAAGAAGAGGTCGTTCCATTGGCTGATCAGGAAGAACCTCCATTTTGTGATACACGACCTGATGGCCTCACAAGGTAACGTCTCGAAGCGAAGACTTTTGAAAATTTCCGAGTCGTTTACACTTGTACTAATTTACTTGTTTCTTGCAGATAACTTCAATAAGAAGATGCCTCTTCGGCCCGACTTCAAAACGATACAGAAGATGATGGCCGAGGTGAGGGCCTTGAAGACCTCCTCCTCCTCTTACAAGAAGCAGATGGAGGATTTAGTGGATGCCAGCAAGAGGCTCTCGCTCCCGACGGAAGAGGAGGTGCCTGAGGATCCTGAGGCTAACCTGCTTCGAAAGGGCAAGAAACCTGCTGTCCCTTCCAAGCGGCCAATGGTGGCGAGGCCACTCCCCGTTCTAAAGCAAATCAAAATTCCTACCGAGGTAGATATTTCGGAGAGAACGTCCGCGCCATCAGAGGCTTCACCTGCCCCGGCGAGGGTGCCAGTTACTGTCGTCCCTCTCGCCCAGGTGCTAGGGGAGTCGAAGAAGAAAAGAGCCCGTCCCTCCAAGGAGGTGAACTTCCTGGGCTCGAACTCTGAGGAGCCCGTCAAAGAAGTACTAGAGGCTTTGCCTCCAGAAATGGCTGCAGTGGCGGTAGTCCACAACAAGTATTGGACTGAAGAATGGAGGGACCATACCGCCTCTTGCACAGTTGAAGACCTGGTGGCGGCCAATAGTGTATGTGTGGCTCGGACTCTGAGCACCAGCATCCAGCTCGAGGGCTTGGTGAAGGACCTAAATGCCCAGAGGGAGGATCTCGCCAAGCGCCTTGAGGAGGTGATGCAGTATGGGGACAAGGTGAGGGAGGCCCGGGCCAAGGCTGCGAAAGAGGAGAAGAGGAGGATGGAGGCTGAGGCCCAGCTGGCAGCTGTTGCTGGAGACATAGAGCGATTGAAGAAAGAGCTCTATGAAGTGGAGTGCCAGGTAGCTGCCATGACCCAAAGAGTGGACCATGCCAACGAGCACCACCGGCTCGCCACGGAGGCTCTGGAGGCCTCCAATAAAGAGAAAGCTGAGCTGAGGCAAAGGACGGAGGCCCAGTCTGAGGAAATTACCCCTTTGAAGAAGGAGCTAAAGTCGGTAGGGGAAGTGACTTTTCAGAATTTCATTGACCACTTCAAGGAATATCCCCTGTATGACGACTTTGCGAATTTCTGGGCCTCCTGGAGTGCCCAAGGCATATTGGGTCGGCTGAAAGAGGTCCACCCTACTTTGGACACCTCTTCTTTAGAGGCAGAGTTCGGGGAACCTACTGGAGGCCGGCCTGATAGGCTGGCGGAGGACGCTCCAGCTACCGAGGCTGGCGAGGCAGAGGCTAGCAGGGAGGGGCCTTCCGTAGAGTAGGTCTTATTTTGTAATGGCTTCGACCTTTTGTAAATTTGAAGCAATTGAAATGAGAAATTTTTTTACCAAGTGTTATCGCTTCTACTTTCTTATCGTATTGATCTATTTACGCGTATATGCATGGCAAACTTTTAAGGCTAAGCACCTCTTAGCAATCAGAAGATCGGACCACTTAAGTAATAATCAAGTGTCTCTTAACAATAATCAGATCGGACCACTTAAGTAATAATACCGAGGGATTGAGGTAACAATTTGATAACCAATGTGACAAAAAACTGAAGTATCAATACTTGAAAAAGTTACATTATCCATTACCAAGGCCTTTTCAGCGCTAAGATAGGCAAATTACCAATGAGATCGGATCGGGACACACTTATCGGAAAACATTGAGATCAGATCAGAACAACAACTCATCACTGGTAAAATTTCCTCAAGTGTTCGATGTTCCATTGATGAGGTAGTACTTTCCCTGCCATGTCTTCAATTTCGAAAGTACCAAGTCGGGATTCCCTACGGATGCGGTAAGGACCCTTCCAGTTCGGTCTAAACACTCCTGACCCGGTTAGCTTTGATGATTGGAAGACTCTTCTGAGGATGAGGTCTCCCAGGCGAAGAGTTCGGTTTCTGACTTTGGAGTTATAATAGCGGGTCATCTTCCTATGATACTTTGCCAAATTCATCTGGGAGGTATCCCTCCTTTCTTCAAGGAGGTGGAGTTCGTTCACTGGGATGTCGTCGTTATCGATCTCGTGGAAGTGTATTCGACGATGTGATGGGACCCCGACCTTGACTGGGCTTATGGTCTCGGCTCCGTAGGTCATTCAGAATGGTGTTTCTCCAGTTGCAGTTTCGCTTGTTGCCCAGAGGACGTGGGGAAGTTCATCGACCCAAGCTCCCTTTGATGTGTCAAGCTTCCTTTTCAGGGTATGCTTGATGGTTTTGTTTACTGCCTCAACTTGTCCATTTGCTTGCGGATGATGAGGCATTGAGAAATCCTTTTTTATCCCCATTTCGTCGCACAATTCTCGCATTTTTCGGTTGTCGAACAATCTCCCATTGTCGGACACTAAGGAGTGGAGAATACCGAACCTACAAATGATATTCTTCCAGATGAATTTTATAGTGTTTGCCTTGGTAATCTTCGCAAGGGGTTCAGCCTTGACCCACTTGGTGAAGTAGTTGATGGCGACAATAGCGAAGGTCGCGCTTTCTCTTCCTTTAGGGAGTGGGCCAATGAAGTTGATGCCCCACTTGGCGAATGGCCAGGGACTGGTTACCACAGAGAGGTTCTGAGAAGGCTGCCTTTGAATATTCGAGAAGCGCTGACATTTATCATATTTCTGGACAAACTGGCAAGCATCCCTTTTCAGGGTCGGCCAAAAGTAGCCTTGACGGAGAAGCTTGTGTGCCAGGGCCCCTCCTCCGGAGTGATTTCCACAGATTCCCTCATGAATTTCCCTAAGAATATATGTGACCTCTTTGCCTCCCACACATCGGAGAAGTGGTGAGGCGAAGCCTCTTTTGTAGAGCACATCCTCTTTCAGGACGAAGTGCGCAGCCCTTCTTCTCAACTTCCTTGCCTCGCTCCTAGAAGCAGGTAGTGTATGGGTTACATCCATGATGGGGTGCCTTCTATCCAGAGTACCTCTTCTCCTCCGAAAATGGAGTGCTTCAACAAGTGTTCAATAGGGACGACCTTTAATAGCTCGAAATCCTTGCTGCTGGCAAATTTTGAAAGGGCGTCTGCATGTGTATTTTCTAGGCGTGGGACTTGAATTAGTTTGAACCTTTCGAATTGAGGGATTAGGTCCTTAACCAACTTCAAGTATGCGACCATGCTACTGTCTTTGGTCGTGAAGCTTCCACTCACCTGATTCACTATCAGCTGAGAATCGCTGCTGGCTACGAGCCTTCTGACCTGCATCTCTCTTGCCAATCTGAGGCTCACTGGACGGGCTTCATATTCGGCAGCATTGTTCGAGGCTTTGAAGCCAAACCTTACTGCACAATTTAGCTTGTGACCCTTTGGACTTTCCAAGACTATTCCTGTCCCGGAGCCAGCCTCTCTTGAGGATCCATCTACAAACAGTTTTCTGGTTGGGGGCTCAGCTGGTTCCATTATTGCCTCCATCTCTGGGGCTTTGACAGACTCAACCACAAAATCTGCAAGGGCCTAGCCCTTAATGGCATGTCGAGTTCGGAACATTATGTCGAAATCACTAAGCTCGATTGCTCATTTTAGCAGGCTTTCTGATGCGTCTGTTCTCCGTAGCACCTGCTTCAATGGGAAATTGGTGAGAACGTCGATAGAGTGGGCTTGAAGTATGGCCTCAGTTTCCTTGAGGTTGTGATGAGGGCAAGTGCCAATTTTTCCATGTCTAGGTATCGTGTTTCAGCTAGGAGGAGTGCTTTGCTGATGTAGTACACTGGCAACTGTCGTTCATTTTCTTCTCTAACTAAAACAGCGCTGATCGCCACGTCCGATACTGCCAAATACAGCAGCAGAGACTCTTCTAGTCGAGATTTTGACAAAAGGGGTGCCTCTCCGAGGTGCTTTTTTAGCGCCTGGAAGGCTTCTTCGTACTCAAAAATCCATTGGAACTTCTTTCCTTGCTTAAGCACTTTAAAGAAGGGTAAGCTTTTATTAGTGGCCCTAGAGATGAAATGACTGAGTGCAGCTATTCGACCATTGAGGCTTTGGACCTCCTTCGATTTCTGAGATGACCTCATTTCCAGCAAGGCTGTTATCTTTACTGGATTGGCTTCAATCCTTCTTTGGTTAACAATATACCCCAAGAACTGACCCGAAGCCACCCTAAAGGTGCACTTGAGGGGATTCAACTTCATCTTATATTTTCTAAGTATCTGAAAGGTTTGTCGAGGTGACTTACGTGTTTGCTTGCCTGGAGGCCTTTGACTAGCATGTCGTCCACGTAGACCTCCATGGTTCTGCTAATGAGTTTGGTGAACATCATGTTGACTAGTCTTTGATATGTGGTTTCGGCATTTTTAATTCGAAGGGCATGCCTTTGTAGTAGTAGAGTCCTCTGTTTGTGATGAATGACGTTGCTTCCTCGTCAGGTCGGAACATGGATATCTAATTGTTCCTTGAATATGCGTCCATGAAGCTCAATAGTTCATGTCCAGCAGTGGAATCCACAAGTTGGTCTATTCTTGGAAGTGGGAAGCTATCTTTAGGGCATGCCTTATTCAAGTTGATAAAGTTTATGCACTCCCTCCACTTCCCGTTGGGCTTTTTCACAGGACCGGGTTGGATATCCACTTCGGGTAGATGGCTTCCCTTATGAAACCACTGCGGGTAAGCTTGACTACTTCATCCTTGAGAGCCTCGTACCTTTCTAGGTTGAGGGCACGCATTTTCTGTCGATGAGGGACACAGGAAGAGTTGATGTTAAGATGGTGGCAACTGATCCTTGGATTTATCCCCACCATATCTTCATGCTTCCATGCGAAGACATCCAAGTTCCTTTTCAGGAAGTTTATCATCTCCTCTTTCGCTTCAGGGGGCTGTGCCTTCCCTATTCGCAAGACCTGATTAGGGTCCTCTGGGTTGACGGAGAAAGTCTCTAGTTCTTCTATTGGAGCTGCGTTTGGTTTAGAGTCAATTATCCGGGGATCTAACTCGTCAAGGAGGTGTCCTTGTTCAGGAGCCTTTTCCATGTTAACAGTTCGGGGCTCCGACTTTCTTAGAGAGTTCAAATAACATGCCCTGGAGCCCATCTGGTCGCCTCAGACCGTAGCAATCCCATGTTCAGTTGGGAATTTCAGACACAAGTAGTGGATGGAAGTGACGGCCTAAAGATCTTTCAAAATAGGTCTGCCCAATACTCCATGATAAGTCGATATGTGGTCTACCACTAAGAATTCCATAAAATGTTGTGCCACTAGGGGTGCTAAACCCATGTCGACGAGCAGAGTGATCCGCCCTCGTGGAACGATGCTGTCTCCAGTAAATCCGAATAGTGGATCGATCATGGGGATCAGCCCATGTTCAATTTACGTCTTGTCGGAGGTAGAGCCGAACAGTATGTTCACCGAACTTCCATTGTCGACGAGCATGCGTTTTAGGCCGTTTCTGGCCACTACGGATCTTACAACCAATGCGTCACAATGGGGGTGGTGAACTCCATTTGCATCTTCCTGGGAGAAGATGATTGGGGCCATCTTATTGACTGCTTGTAACTCGTTGACAATGTAGGTAATCATTGGCGGGTCATTTGCTTCCCTTGTGTAATTCCTTTGAGCGTTCCTGGTGTTGCCACTGATGTGAGGTCCCCAACGATTGTGTCGATCTCCCTGATAACTTCGCTCCCAGAGAATGGGGCCTAATTTCTCTGTTTAGACTGTCCTTAGTCTTTTGATTCTCTCCTCCGGGGTAATTGCTCTCTATGCCCTCTCTCTCCCCTGTTCGGGGAGGTGGATCTGTGAGGATATTCACTTCTGTTGGAAGGATATGGGTTGCCTCGATCTGAAAGTCGATTAGCGTCTCGACATTCACTAGTGTCATGCTCATAGAGTTGATAGAAAGTGCAGAATCTTGTCCCTTCCAAGGGTCTGTTTGATCGTTTCTTCTTCTTCTTCTTCTTATCAGCTCTTCCGAGTGGTCCTGCTTCACCAGGAGCGTTCTCGTATGCCAATATCGGCACTACATTCAAAGTAGCGGAAGCCAATGCTTGTTCGGACCATTGTGTGACTTGCTTGAGTCCATTGCTGAGTGACAAGGTACGCTGCAGGTCCTCGACCTACCTGCCTCTGAGGCGAAGGGAGTCCTTGCACAGCACGATTCCGATGATCAATCATTTCCTCACTGACAATTTCTACTCTCATCATTTCCACCAGTTCGTCATAGGTGGCAGGATTCTTGCTGCGCACGTCCCTCCATAACAAAGTGTTCATGTTGAGGCTACCTTTCAGAGCTGAAAGGGCTTCTCTATCTGTAACCTGTTCGCAGTATGTGATTTCGTCTGTAAACCTAGCGAGATAGCTCTTCAGCGTCTCTCTAGGGGCCTGCCTCATGTCTTGCAGGCGTTGCACTGAGGCCTCTCCTTCCTTGCGTGAGAGGTATTGATTTAAGAATGCCTTCTTCAAATCTGGCCAACTCCTAATGCTCAGAGGCGGAAGTCTGCTATACCACACTTCAGTAGCTCCGCCCAGGGTTAAGTGGAAGGCTTTGCATTTCAGAGCAAGCGAGGCTCCCCTGAGGCTCATCTGTGTCATGTATTTGCTCCGGGTCCCCTTTTCCTTCTTATTTGGGGATTTTAGGGAAAATGAAGTTTGCCAGCATCGGGAACCTTCGGATCTCCCTTGAAAAAGGAATGTTATCATCATCATCATCGGTCTCATAAGATCGACAGGGCCCATCTGACCCTTCATCATCTTGAATATCCTGAGGAGGTGGATGTGCTTCTCCTCGGCTTCCCCAATCGACTAGGTTCCTTCTTCCCTCCTATTTCTAGGAGGAGGAGCCTGTTCTTGTTCCTGGCCTTCCCGAACTGGTCTTCGCACTGAGCTGGCCCTATTACTAGGGTCCTACCCTATTCGGTCGAAGACGCTTACTGACCTTTGTTCCCCGTATTCTTGAGGAAAATTGTCCCCTAGCTGTGGTTCCGCTGGCTGGCTTCCCTGCACATAGGATGTGGCTTCCACGCCCATTTCTCTTTTGAGGGGGCGTTTTGTGTGCCGGCTCATATGGCCTCGGGAGCGAGATACAGGGGCTTCCTGCACCGGGTAAGATCCTTGAGGCATTTGATAGCCCTGATGACCTTGGCCTTGCATGAGAAGTTCATACATCGCCATATTCTGAGCTGCGATGTTGCTCATGCCAGCCGCTATTTGAGCCATCTCTTCAGCGAGCATGACTGTTCTTGCGCCTCGGCGAGGCCGGTGATGTGGTCTCTGGTGAGTGACATTGTTATGGAGCACCTCTTCTTCAGAGGCCTCTCTCATGGGATTGTCGTCTTCATGGTTGGAACTCATTCTATCTCCTTTTTCAAGGGTGATGAGGCTTTGAGGTATAACTCGACTTTGTTCTTTTTCAAGAACGTGCCATTTTCAGGGTAAGTCCCTAGTTTTCTGATATTTTCTCCGGTGGAGAATGTAGAACTTTGAGCGGGAAGGCTTCCCACAGACGGCGCCAATCTGTTGACCTCGAAAATTAGACCCTCCGTGGCCAACTGATAGTCACTCCACGTATTCCTCCCTGCGCACAATCAACGCACGGTCAGATGCACATGGTCGGAACCAGCGGGGGTGGCGACAGCTGTATATACTTCGACGATCAAACTAGGCTCAGGCAACCGGAACAGTATGAAGGTTGTACAAAATAGAGGGAAGGAGACTATATGTTTACTTGCTATGGAGTGCCAAGCAGAAAGAGTTTCATTACCTTTGCCTCTTGCCAAGCCTTGGGTATTTATAGGTGATGAGAGTCGTTGGATGTGAGACACGTGTATATATCTGAACGGTATGAGGCATCTGCTCATAGGCGTCAATCATCCACGTCTATAGAGTGGGCTGAAAGTTACTTCTCCTGAGTTGAGTTGACATAAAGTTGATAGGTCACATCAATTAGCCTCATGGAGACGTCAAATCACTTTAAACCTTAGGGGCAGAAAAGATCTTGACAAAGATCTCATTTTGAAATCGGCGACGGACCTTCAGGTCGAGGTCCACGGGGATCGTTTTGCCCCGGATTCAGGGGGATGGGGTGCTTCGACCAATCTTGCAGAATTACCACTTAGGGGGACCACTTCATATGAACGTCCCACACATCGGCTGACGTGGTGGTGGATTTTTCGAAGTGGAATCACTTTGTATGAGTGTTCCACACATCAGCTGAAGTGGGTTTAGTTCGGGACATAACAATAATAATAATAACGCATATATTACGAATTAAAAACAGGAAGTTAATTAACATATAGATAATGGAAAGTCTATCAAAATCTTAATCTCAAGACAATTATGGTTAAGAGCATAAACAGCCACATTATTAATAAATCTAGAAAGAGATAAAATTGGAATCGTTAATATATATTCATTTTTTCATATTTAACATTTCTGTTTACTTAAATCCTTATGCTAGTTACCAAAGAAAAATCCAAATCGAAAACAATGGCTAGTGGAGGAATGATTTCACCATCAGACAATAAGGGGTATTACTGGTAGAGTGTTTGTTGACCCCGAGAAATGGACCTTCACGTGCCTAATGGAGAGCAACTCCACATGTATTCCTCTCTGCACACTTGGCACAAACAGTCAACACTTCGTAGCCATTCCAAGCGATAGTGGTTGCGGCCACGAACACTCTGACAATCAAGTGAGTTGATGATAATCTGCACAACTGCTTCTAGTAGCAAAGACCATCGGACTTTTTTAAATTATCTCGAAGGGGGAGGAGAAATGGTGGTTACTTAGGTTGTAAAGTTACATTACTTTACAAAGGTTTTGATAACATGTATTTATAAAGAGAAGAGTGGAAGAACCGTTGGATGGAGAAAACGTGACTTCATCTGTCGATAAACATCTATCTATCACTCTATAAGTGGGCAGGCATTTAATGTTTCTAGAGTGGAGTTGACACATTGGCATTTGCTGCAAAGATGTCACATTCATCATTCAAAAGATTTTATTACGACAGATCATTGACTAAAAGATCCGTATCTTATGTCAAAACTTCTAGGCCTTATGGCTTGAATTTTGTTTGCACCACTTCAACCAAACGCTATTGACCTCTAATTCTGCTGATCTCACAAGTTAAAGTGTAATCATGACATGTAAATAAACACGTGAATGTTTTATCACAGAATACAATATTATTGAAGATTCTCTAAGGAGATTCCACATGGTTCTTGGTGGCAGCAGCGATGGTGGAGGTGATCAGGTGATGCTTAGTGATGTGACTTGGAAGTGGGCTAGTGTTGGATTATGTGGGAATTCGAAGAGTTTGAATTACATTTAACGCAAATATTAAAAAATCTATGATTGGATCTTGGGTTTTTTAATTAAATTAAAATGTTTATTTATTTTAATTGTTTTCGAATCTTTTCTTTATTATTATTTTTGTCAAACTAGCCAATAAATAAAATGTCAGTAGACTAGTTGAAGCAATTACAGCATAATTTATGTAAATAGTAAGAATATCATAAAACCACAATTTTAATTTAATTAAATTATGAATTGGAAGTTATAACTTGTAGCCTATTTATACCTCTCTTTTTCTAGAAACACAATAAAAATTCATTTTAATATTTTGTAATTTTGATGTAATCGATTTTAGTATTATTCTATTTTTTGAAATACTATTTTGGTGTACTATTGAGAATTCAGAAAACTGCTTGTGATTGTTATCACAACACACATTATTCGATCGTTGTGTCTTGGAAGTTATAGTCCAAAGAGACCACAGTAACTTATTGTGGATAATCTTACTTTCGGACATCGTAGCGTTACGAGTCTAAATCGATCTATAAATTTTCTTACATTCTACATTTTAATTGTTGTTCTTGAAAGATATTTACAACTAATTTTCTCCAACAACTAGTACATAGTTGGTGTGTTTGGGTGGAGGTGGGGTTCTGAGATGTTTACAATAATTTGAGAAATAAAACCAGAGAAAGTATATTTGAAATTTTAAAACTTAGTAGAGTTCTTGGTGTTATGTCCACATATTTTATTAAAATTAAGTGTCACTTTTAGTGATATTTATCACTAAAAAAAATGATAGAAATTTCTAAAAAGTGGTAGGAAAAAATGACAATAATACTAAAAAAATGTGACAATAATTCAAAAAGACGACATCAATGTAAAAATGTCAAATTCAAAAAAGTGATTGAAAAAAAAGTGAGAAACTCAAAAAAGTGATAGAAATTTTATTTTAAAAAGTGACAAATTCAAAAAAAAAATAACAAAAAAAAAATAAAAAAAATGGTAACAACCACTTAAAAAAGTGACCCAAAAAAACAAAAAAGTAACAAGTATTAAAAAAATGACAGAAATAATATGATGGTGATTTTTTTATTGAATAATTAATATCCATTTTACTATGTTAAGACTTTTCGTAGAAATTTTCAATATAATGACAAATTTTCAATAGGATGACAAATTTTCCAAAAAGTGACGGAAAGTGAAAGAAGTGAGAGAAATCGAAAAAAATAAATGAATAAATAAATAAACTAACAATCTCTTATGATGAAGCCTTGACAATAAAACTCCCACGTTTAAGTCTAAATAGAGCACCACCACTCAATTCCACGATAGTGATTTGTATACTTGCCTCTGGAGCTAATTATAGTCTACTCCATATGTGTTTTTCTTTTTCTTTTAATCTTTTATTTGGTCTCCCTAAGAAGACGATACTGAGAACATAATTTGAAGTCTCTAAACTAAAAAGAGATATGGTGGGGATCAAGGATGTGGATTTGTATCCCTATCCTTCAAATCTAGAAAGACTAAGAAAATCCCCATTCCTCATTGTGCTAGTTCCCGCTATACTAGTAGAGCTCCAAATCATAACATAGTATATGTAGCTTAATACATAGGATGCCATCAACATCTTTCTGACCCCAGAATAGTATGGTGTTCAACAAGCAAGATTTTAAAATGAACACACTATAAGTTGAGCACAGAACTCTCAAAAATGGCAGTATTTAAGAAATTGACATTAAGTACAAACACCAACATAGCCGATATGAAATTCTTAACTAACAAGTGTGATATTAGATTATTTTACCATATACAAGATACTAAATATTAACTTAGTTATTCTTCATTTGCATGTAACTAGCTATATAGAATTGTGCTATTTCCCTCCTAAATTATTCTTCTCCTCAATAAAATCCGCATCAAAGAGCAAATTCCATTTTTGACCTCAATGCATCGAGCATTGTGTCCATATCCCTTATTTAGCAACCGTTAACTACTCTTCTTCCTACCCGCTTCCTCAGTTCTGCCGTTGGTGTCGTTGCCACACTGTCTTGAACACTTGTCATGATTTCAGTAAAAAACCTAGCACAACATCGTTTTTGATAATTGTCGCCAAAAAAAATAAAATTACGAGAAAAAGAAGAAGAATTTACTAGAAAAACTAACAAAACTCTTGTCCTAAATGAATGGAGAGAGAAATGTAGGGTTTGATGATGTCTGATCGAAAGCATTAGAAAGAGCAGCCTATAATCGACCAAAATCATGAAAATTTCCCAGAACTGGCAAAGAGAAATCACTTATTTAGGGTTTTGTTGGGTGAAAGTTTTATAAATTAAAGGGTAATAGTAAATTTTTGAATTAATGGGCCGTATTGGGCCTAATTATCTCTAAAAGAAACCAGAGAGCATGTTTTGGACTTTACCTATTTGCTCGAATCAATTTGAAACGTTGGCTCCGCTCCTAGAAAGTATATTGGGCTGTAAATTTTTTACTAAAATTCAGGCCCAACTACAGAGAGCTGAACAGGGCACGGTTCAGTGTAGTCCATCTTAAAGTCTAACTTATCATTTGGATTGTGGACAAAACTAGCATTATTGATCCTATATCGTTTGTTAGAAATTTTTGAGGTTGAATATTTCAATTGCTAAATGAACTTTTCAGAAAAAAATTCAATTGCTATTATACATTAAAAAAAAAATTAAAAAATTGAGTTAGTATTGAACTTATCAAAACATTATTTAATTCCTCACTCTGTCACTCGTCATTATAAAAGTTAACAAACTTAATGGCACAATACAAGAAATCTTTACACGTTGGTATGCTTTCATCATTAGTGTATACCATGTCAGCAAAATCTCAAGCGACAATGCATTTTTAAAACGATGAATGTTAATGACGGATGAGACACCATTTAGATAAATTCAACAATATCTCAAACAACTTTTAAAATTCAATGAAAAATGAGAAATATTTTAAAAAATTCAATAACAACTTAGAAACTTTTTAAAATTTGAAGATAATTAGAAATCATTTAAAAAAACTTAAGTCGCAAATATTTAAAACATACGAAATTGCCAAGACACTTTTCAAAGGGCAAAGTATCCAAATACTTTGAAAAAGTATGACAAGAGTGTCACGGGCAAACAAAACATAAAGATTATACTACTATGCGGTCAAAAGTCAATCGTGTTCTTTTCATCATTTTGGTGCAATAAGTAACTTAATTATTGCCAAAGAATTATTTAACGTGGCTGCCAATTTATTTTATCCTCACAAGCAACAAGGAATCTCGTGCTTCAAAATAAGTAATGATCATGTCTTCATTATTAACATTAAAAAAAATACTAAAACATTTGCCAAATACAAAAAGCCCCCCTTTTCAAGGATCTAAGTGGCAAATAGAAATCTCAAATTAAAATTTGTCAAAACAAAAATATTTTTACATGTGAAAGTTGTCTACAATTTCGCTGTTTAAATTGACAGTTTTCGTTAAGTACGGATCAAGATTTTCATATTTATATAAGTTAGGAATACAAAACCTCGATTTGAAATGTTAGATAACTAGATTCACGAATTCAAATGTTGAGGAACTCGACTCTAATTTTTACCTTAGAAAATAGTTACATATCAATTATTTCAATACTAAACCTTTTTTCTTTACGCGAAGTTGCCATATACAAATGGGAGGTTAAGGCATCACTCCAAAATGGGGAGACCACATAAATGCCAAATTTTTTTATCACAAGAAAGTAAGTAAACCATTAAAAATAAACCCAATACAATATATATTCAACAAGAAAAAATTAAAATATATGTGCATATTTTCTACCAATCTAGTGCGTGCATTATGCAATATTAGATAGGAACTTGATATACAATAAACAAACCTTTAGTGTTTTTATTTCTTTACACTATTCAGTATCGTCCAATCTAACTTATCACGCACGAGATTTTGTCGCATCTTTACTCGAACGAGTCCAATTTAAGGATCAGAATGTCTCCCATTTTGTTGTTACCACAACTGGCCCTGGATTCCTCTCATTTCCCATACTGCCAAGGGAAGAATTTCTTATCTTAAGGATATCAAGAGTTTCAATGTATTTCTGCACCCTTTTCACCTTCAAATTCATTGAATTCAAGAAAATTAATATAGCTTTTTTACAAAAATTCGACCGCGAAAATTCAAAGATTTGATTAATAATATAAATAGTTACCTGCATTCTTCTCTGGATTTTCATATCTCCTTCTGCAGAAATTCCATCCAATTTAATCAGTTGTGTCATTAACAATTCAATCAAATTCAATAAAACTGTCTCCACAACTTTCTTTCCACAATTTATCTCCAATTCAGTCAATGCCACCTGCAAAAATTCATCAAGAAAATCAGGAAAAAAAGATAATCTAATCTTTTTTAACAAATTATATAATAAAATGGTAAAATTATCACCTGTTTTGCGAGTTTGTCAACTTCAGATCTAATTGCTGCAATTTCTTTTGATGCCTTCTCCATTTTCGCAGTTTTTATCAATTCAAGATTTCCTCTCTCTTTACTCAATTCGTCGTCGATTAGCATAATCTTTGATCCATCTTTCACTCCAGCAACATCAAGAAAAGTTTTTGAATCTCTCTCTTTGTCCTTGTATATCAATTTCTGATCCTGTGAAGATAGTCCCATCGGCTCGGCTAGCATTTTCTTCAATTCACCTGCACTTAAAAACTATGATCCATTAGAATAAACAAATTTAAGATCAAGAAAATGGAATTCATGAAAAATAGACCCAAAATCTAATGGAATACTTTACAATCCTAATGTCAAGGCCTCAAGAATTGCATACATTCAAACTAATGTTTTAAAAGCCGACCAGGGCATTGACACGAAAAAAGTTTCAAGGGTCAAATTGTCGAATTGGAATAGAACTTCAGGAATAGGAATTACCAAAACTTGCTTGAGAATTAATGTTGACTTCATGATAAGATCTGCCATATTTCACTTTGACTCTGATGTAGGGAACATGAATGGAATTCTGAGTATAATCTGAACTTCTCCTTTGTACTAACATTCCTCCAGGCCTAACCTCCCACGCCTCAGAACCACCACCGGCACCGGCGGATTTTACAGGCGAAGAAATTCCGGCAGCCTTAGTCTTCATTCTGATCATATTATCTTTGTTCATGGTTGTATAAAAGGAATTCTTGTTATATAGATCACACAATATGATCAATGCAATATATGAACAAGACTGAAAAAGTTGATGAAGATGTTTTTAACTACTTGTCTGCTAAGCTAAGAACAAACCCATGTATGAAGAAAGAACCCAATTCTGACCCACAATGTCAGACTAACAACAACAATGTGGTCTGAATGTATAAATACAAATCCCTATAAATAATGAACAACCACCATAAACTTGTTTTTGAGTCAGTTCAGGGTTTCGATGGAAGTTTCATAAAAGAAATATGATAATGATTATTACAGAATCCATCTATATATGTATAAAGAGAGACACAGAGAAAGAGTCAGGAAGAAGAATGGCAAGATAGTGGTTGTTAAAGAGAGATGCCTTTGTTGTGGATGGATGAGTGGTTGGGTGGTTTTCTTTTTTCTTTTATTTGGTATTGTCGAAAACATAATTTAAATAAATATGTTTTGGGACGCATGTCTTTTTAAAAGGTAATGGACGCATGAGATGTTTTTTGCCATAAATAGATTTACCCTAGAGTATAATAGTAAAAAATAATGATATTTGTAGTCATTTACTATCGCAGTCGTCCTAAGTAACATACATGTAGCGGTTAATGATTTGATATATGTGGCAAAAAAATCTATTACATTAGTACATTAAATCACAAGCTGCCATGTAGGATGCAACGTAGAACGACTATCACATTGAACAATTATGAATAGCATTACTCAATAGTAAAAGGGAGTTTGACTCTACAAGACAAGTCACAACAAAGCCAAAATTTTCGTCCTGTTCTTGATTTTTTTGTGTGAGATGCTTTGATAGATAACATTTAACTTAATGCTGCTTAAATTTATAATGAACAAGTTGGAGTAATGAAAATGAATTCACGTACTCGTAATGGAGATAAGACTAAAACTTTTTGTCGTTTCATTGCATACTTCATTGACATGATGAATTTTGTGAGTTATGTGCTATAAATGGCACATGAAACAAAAGACTTAAATCAAACTGCAAGAATTTTTTTTTTTTTTAATGTTTGCATTAAATAAGTTAACGAAGAGAGATTAATAATATTGTTTATGATTTCTTTTTGTTTTTGTCCGTAATATAGTTTAGATCACTTGTCATATGAGAAAAGCTCGTATGGATAACTTGAGTTTGCTGGTACACAAGAGAGCCTAATAAAGGATGAAGGAGCAACAGACACTCTCTTATGGCCTTTAACGTTCTTAAGAATAATATTGTAGCATTACAAAAAAAATTAAATTTTTTGATAAAATTATAATTGAGTCCAACATGCAATAATTGTCTATATAATTCCCATCTTATCCATTTATTGGGGAATAACTTTAGTTATATCTTATAGGCACCAAGACAAGTAAACAACCCATCGAAAAAGGTTCAAAGAAGAAAAGTTACTAGAATCCCATGCCCATTTATGTGATATAATGATTAAATATTTCTTTGAGTTGTCTACCTTCTCAAGGGTAAATTAAATATGCATGATTTTGTCAAACAAATATAAAATAAATGACGAGTATTAAAGGAGAAAAATAAATTTAAATCTTGTTTATCCTCCAATTCAATCTTTGACGTCTTAGGCATACTAAATATGACTTAAGATGCTATTTTTTTTTCTTTTAATGTTTTCGTTCTCCACTTCACTGTTTACATAAACCAGGATAGTTACGTCCATTACATACAAATCAATTAAAAGTACGTAGCATAAGGAGAGTTAAATATCAGTTTAGATGTCAATTAAGTTGTTGAACAGCTTAATCAAAGCATGTCTTAATTGACATTTATACTCATCTGTTGGGCTACGTAGCATTACTAAAAGTTGTTTACTTTGATAATTGTTTTTAATGGATTAACAATACAATTAAATTGTGTTTGGTATACCTAATTAGACCATACAAGAAATGAAAGTATAAAATTAGAGTAGATATATAAGTATTAGGGTAGATTAAGGTGAATAATAATTTTAGTTTTTTATTCAAAGTATGTTATTTGCACTATTTTTCTTAAGCTAAGTAGATAAAATAATATGAAGTGAGGAGGTGAGGTTTAGGGCGTATAAGATAGCATTGTTTTAAATGAAAGACCTATAAATATTATCTCCTCTAGTTTTATGCATAATTTTCTTGTACAATCTATTCCGGTACCAAACGTAGTCTTAATGTATTAATTTTACTCTAATATATCAGTCATTAATTAATAAAAAAAAATCAAAATATTGTCTATTATACAATTCAATCTCATTTACTTTTATATAATACTAAACGACTAGAGCTTCGATCATAACAAAAGAGGTCTATTAAAAGTAATGGGCTGCACTGAAAGAAGCCAGGGTTGCCAGAATGCTTCCGACTTATAAGCTGGACTAATTATAAGTAAGTTAGTGGTCAGTTCAAAATGCCAGGGACATTGATGTTAACTCCCTCCAAGCAAACATCCCAAGTGAATTGCTTTGTTTAGTAGCCATCTTCTGCAAAAATATACAAATGCATGTGTCTCCCCTTTGAATTGATGTGTTTCTTGGATGCTCTCATCACTTGAACCAATTCAATTATTTAAAGCAACAAAATTATTTCTCTGACAAGTTATTTTGAATCTTCATCTCATTCCAATCAAAGGGTGTAGGAGATGTCGTAGATAGAAATATACCGATCAAAACTAGCTTTATTGAGTTTTGATAGAATGTAACAAGTTGCATAGAAATAAAAGTTCAAAACTCGTAAAAAGTCTAACTTTTAATAAATGAGTCTTTTCTTTGAAGACAATAGATCTCTCGTTTCACTCTAAAATGTTTATATGTACACATTGGCACGATGATTGTGCCGGGAAAATATGATGATAAGTCTTGACGAGTAAAGGTATGCTCTTTAAGGCATGTACCCTTTTAGTAAAGTATCAAGATAGGAAGGGTTGAAACCACTTCTCCAAGACACTTCGAAAACACACTTGGTCACACAAATCTTGTGTTCGAATAATACCTCATCTCACATTCACTCCAAAACGTTTAAAAAAGTGCTTACTGCCCTGACTATCATGTCCCAACTTTTTCATAATGATACATGTTGAGTAAATAATCAAGATTG